TATATTTTCTGAATTTAAGTGCAGAAACCAATTGTAATAAAAAATTATTAAACGCACACTGATCTGTTTTATCTGTTATAATATCTATCAATCGATCAATTACATATACATATGATCGATTACATATACTTATGATCGATGTGTGTGAGGCTGCAAGATTATAGAGACCTTCTAATAAGAGTCTGGCCATCACCACCGCACCAACGAAAAATAGTTTCATGCTACGGATGAACTACTCTACTTTTACATCAAGAGTCAGATTTTTCTGAATTTTCGGGTTCGCAAACTTCCCTTGTGAGTAAAACAATAGAACGGAGAAAGCCGACGGGCCGCTTTTACTGTATTGTATCGAGCGGCAGCTGCACGACCCAACGGCAACATCGTAGGCAGTGCGCTATAAATAGCTATATCTTCGAAACTAATGCTCCGATCGTTGCAAAATTTGGTGAGAGTTTTCTCGAGATTATGTACTTAAAGAATATGCGATAAAAAAAAATGCATTTTTTCGACCAACACAAGTGTATATAACCCCTTAAGGCTTAAAGTGTATATAACCCCTTCGTATATATATCTCAGAATCGTTTAAAACATTATTCCAATAATGAAAATTTGATAAAGAGAGAGGTGATTTGAATCCTTTACCATGAGCATTTCTGCTATTTAATAAATCAAATAATTTATCAACTATTCGTATAAATTCGGTAGTTGCTTCACTGCCAAGAAATTGAAAACGCTTATCAGCTCTTAAATAATCGATAGCATCAGCTACTACTAATTGTTTATGTTACCAAACAGACTTTCATCTTTTTATTATAAAAATTAACGTGACCAGAAGTTAAACGATTTGCAAATTTTAACCTAATCTCTTCTTGTAATTGATTAAGATATTTTACATATTGAAAAGAAATATTTCCATTTTCGGAACACAATTTCTTTTCTGCAAACGAGTTTCTAGCCAATTTGATCATGTGACATGCATCAAAAATCGCATAAATATTACATTTTTTGGACGGATATTCAATGTAAGTTTTCAATCTTTCAGGTTGAAAACAAAATCCTAAATTCTCGAGGGTTGCAAAATTTACTGGTGCTCCATCGCAAGAAATCGAATGTACTATGATGCCAACGTCATATAACTTCTTGATAGCTTCAAAAATTAATTTAGATTGATTTTCGTTTGATAATTTCTTTACAAAAAAATGAGCGATAGAAATTTTGAATTTGTTGCTATAAGAAACTATTTGAAATACTAACAAGGGACCCTCACAAACTGCACAATAGCTACAGCATAGAGAAAATTATCCAAGCATCTTAACTCCCTTTGGATCACTTTCCACCCAAAAACTAGACCGGACATAAAATAAATATAAATAATAAAATAACAA